CATTTTGCATGTAGCTCCGGATGTCGTTCAAGTTAATCTGCACCCCATGTTGCCACAGCAGCATCTAAGCTTTCTTTTTGTGTGCGTATCGGCGCGTGTGCGCGCACGTTCTCGTTCCTCCTGCCCCTAAGCCTCCCTGTCTGTTAACACTCCTCCGCTCTTACTTCAGCTCACCCTACCGGCGTTAATTTTATTTTATTTTTTTTTAATTATTTCATAAAAATTGCCGAGGATGTTGCCGCCGGAGTGGCCATAGCAAGTCACTGGATCATTGCTGCTTACCGAAAGCAAGAAAAATTACYACAGAACGCAAACTAATGATGTGTTACAATGAGTGCGCAGCATGTTGCATGCCACAACGACACAAACGGACATGGTGCAGGCAAACGGTCGGTCAAACGGCCAGGCGGGCAACGTTTGGGCGCAGCCAACCAGTTTAATTATTAACKTGATGTTGTTGTTGTTGCTGTTGTCGCYGCCGTCGTTGCCGTTGCGGTTAGTGTGCGCGGCGATTCAGGTTGCAGCGGATGTCACATGGTAGAAACATGAATGCGGCACTCAGCCACACCAGGAACCCGGGGGGAGCATAGTTGGGAAGGCAAGCCGAGAGCGGTTGATTTGGTTGCGGCGCACTGCGCCACTAACGGCTGCATTTTATGCCACACAAGTGGCTGCCGACTTGCGATGTTTGCTGTCACTTTGTTTGCGTTCATCGTTGTTGTTGTTATTGTTGTTGCCTTTGCCAATGCCTTATATTTATTTTTAACAGCGCGCTACTTTGGAATTTAGCAGTTCATTATGCGAAGATGTCAAACGCGCACGCAAACACACTCACACACGCACACTCGTGCGCAATTGCATTTGATGGCAAATTTGTTGTGACTTTATGCCGCCATCAATTTGTGCGAAATTTTCGCATCATTTGCAAACATCCACGGAAACTATTTGTGTTGTGCTAAAAGGCAATAAAAGCGTGAAAACACACAACGCGCGTTCTTAGGGTGACTGCAGTTTATTTGCAGAAAGTAATTGTGCTGCAAATGACTTCATGCCAATGGATTGTACTACGCGCGACATGCACAACCGAGTGAATCGCCCAAATATCGGCGCGTCATGAGGCACCGAAATATTGGCAAGATAACAGTTGTACGGTTAGTGCATCGAGTTAATCGTGATAAAAAATTTAAAACATCTTCTAAAAATTGTTTGAATGTATCAATCTATAGTTAATATATTTTTTTAAAAAACCATTACCACAACTAAAAGTAGATAATGMTGTGGTTGTCATAATTTATATCAATAACCAACAAACATTGTTTGTCCTCATAATCTAAAATAAAGCAAATCGTTTTGTGCTCAGACACTGAATTTCCACAAAATTTTTTRTTGAAGTCAAAATTTTGCATAATGAAAATTTTTAGCAAAAATTTTTTTCTCTAACCGAGACGTACATATATACATTATGATATGTTCCAAAAGATATTTTCGAATTATTCTTAGACAGCTCTAAATCTTCAAAGCACACCGTTAATTGCACCCACCACGCATCTGTTGTGTGACACGATTAATCCCTATCATGAGATCGTTCCTCTCCAATCATATGATTCGCTAATCTTTTTCATACTCATAGTATATCACACTTTACATATGTAGGTGTGTATGTGAAAGATGGAATGCAACGGCGATAGAGATTAATTCGAGCGTAACTATTTTGATGAGTAATTTTCGCTGCCTTTGGACAGTTCAATAGCTTCTGTCGTTTATGCCGTTGCTATAGTGTTGTGCTTGGCTCCGTCTATTTAGAATATTCCCATTTGTACATATGTATGTATTTAACCACACACACTGGCACTCGTATATTTGGACGCCCGCATGTTTGCTATTTTGCTATTCAGCTAACTTTRAGCGTCTTAGCGAGTGTTTGGAACACGCCTTCGACTTCTAATTATGAATTCAATTCATGCAGAAAATTAGTCGAGCTGAATCATCGCTTTAATGAAACACACGGCCAGCGTTGCTCCTCGTCGTTGTTGTGGCCATTGTTGATCTTCTCTCTCTGGTTTAGATGCTTTGGCTTTTTTGCCGTCGCACAGATAAAAGCCACGTAATAATATGATTTAAGGCCAAAAATGTTGAAGTTAAAAAACATACGCAGCTAATTCATTTGGAAAAAGTTAGAAAGACAAAAGCCAAAATTGACTAGTGTTAAGTATGACATGAGACATATGGCACTTGAGTTGAGGGATTGGCAAGTGGGTGACTAGACCTCAGCGGTGACTGGTTGTCCGCTTCAGCCATTAGTTGTACTTTGTGTTGTGTGGCATTATTGCGGTGCGATGGTGGGGCTGTGGGGGGATGTGTGACTCGTGAGGTGTACAACTATACGCTAGCAACGTCGCATGCTGCATATGTTGGGCGATTTTTGCTTTTGTTGTTTCTAAATTGTTATATTCCGCTATTTTTTAAATTTTTTTTTTTACTTTTTTTATATTTTTTTATTGTTTTTATTTTATTTATTTTTTTTAATAATGTTACGAAAGGAATATGCGGGCTGGTGTCCATTGTTTCCACAAATTTGTGTGCTTGCCCATGTGAACGCTGCGCGCCGTTGTTACACTAATGTGTTGTTGTTATAAATTAAATTGTGCAAAAATGAAAATCGAGAAAAAAAACATTAAACAAATGTGAGCGCCACCTTAAAACAAAACCAGCGACGCCAACTGTTATAAGGCATAACAGCAAGAATCTATTGCGATATATGTACATACATACCAACAGGCGGCAGCAACACACACATACACTACCTTTTAGAGAGCGTGTGCTTTAGTTTTATCTGTACGGCCAACAATAATTGTTGGCTAATTTTTTCATAAACAAATSTATTTTAATTTTTATCTTGTTTTTGGTGTTTGTTTTTTCCATTCGTGGGCCTATGTTGTAKTCATTTTAGTTTTTAAAAAAATTTCAAAAATAAATACGAACAGATGCGCACGATGGTCATTAAAGTCTATTCTTTACTTAAAGCACACAAAAAACTGCATTAAAAGCACTAAATAAATAAATTAAAAAAAGATAGGGCAACTTGCCAATAAAGGTTACGGAATCATCTGCAAACGGCAACGCTGGAACCGTCAAAGTTCTCAATTCGCGATGGAGAAGMGTCTCAGAGACCCTTTATCATTAAAAATATTTTATTAAATTKATGAACTCAACATTATTTGAAGAAGGTTAAGTATTATATATCAAYACATATAGCATATATGTATATATTCGACCTCGTTCAGTAAATTTATGGCGACAAGAATTGTGGGACTTAATATCTGATTTTTGGAACTAGCACGCTTACTGCCTTCATTGTMTTCAACGCGCGCCAAAGTTTGTGTAATTTTGGCTCAGACACTATCGGAAAATGCCGAAAATACTACGCATATTTGTACAGCAGAACAAATGGACGCCGAGCCGCCGGGAAAATATGTGTTTGACATTCGCCAAGGCAAGAAAAAACGAACGCAATTTATTAAAAAGACTATTCGATGCTCTTTTTGCCTTTGTTTACTTGAAATAATGAAATAACATCAAATAAGAAAAGACAGACAAACTAATAATGGCTAACAACAATTGGCAATTCAATTTATTAGACGCTCTCGTCTCGACGCGACTAACGCTCACTCGCCCTGCCGCTGTTGAATATCTCCGCCACCAATGACAGCCATATTCTATTTTGTTGTTGTTCTGTAGTGATTTTTTCACATTTCGCAAAGCTACAGAAAATTCCGTCACACGAATCAAGCAGATTTTCGCAAATATTATTAATTATTTTATACACACACCCGCATATTTATGTACATCTGTATGTGCATCTATATGTATGTGTATGTAGTTGGGAGTGTGGTTATGTATGTTGGCATAAAAAACAAAATTTTGCACTAAAATATTAACGTGCGCCGTAGTGCCTTAAATTTTGCTGTCAAAGCTCCGAGTTGATATTATTTTGAATTTGTTAATTTTTATTTGCTACGCACATTTGCACAGCCATAAATTTCGATGATATATGAAAACGTATAAACCGTATAAATAATAGTAAAAAACCGAGCACTATGCATAAATATGTAGAGGGGCGCTTAAGGAACACAAACGGCATATGTAAGAATGCTTTGTATAGTATAACYATTGTTTTTGGTGCTGTCGCAACCACTTTGCAACAGCGCTTGCCGCCCAAAGCGCCAATTGGCATATACGACTACATAAGCATGTAGATATGTATGTATCTGTTTAGATAAAAGCACGATGGTAATTGAGTATGTCAAAATATTGACTCGCCGGAATATTCAGAGCGCTGKRAATGAAAGAAAAGCGCCAGCAAAAATGAGCACCAAAAAACAGTGCAGTGTACAAGGGCGGCTATCAGCGGCAAGACAAAGGGTATCACACATATGTGAGTGGGGTGGGGCACACAGTAGCAGACGCTTACAAGTGTTTCTTTCGCTGCGAACGCTTGTTAAATGAGTTGTTTTCGATAATTTCGCTGTCGCCCGATATTATTATTCATTTATTTGTTGCCAGACAAAACGTCCATCAGCTTGTATGTGCGCTGTGATTCATCTTACGTCAGCAGCGGGAGGAGTGAAAGTGCTATTTGAATATGAAAGAAAACAAATCCGTGAAGGTCATCTCACACACAACATATACATATATGTATACCCATATACAATGTTACATAGCGACGGGCGGCATCGCGCAAAGCAATGCGAAGGCCCAAAATAATGTTTTATTTTATTAAATACACATTCATTTTTAAAACAGAAGCTGTTAGTCTACAATATTATATAAATAACCGATATATATATATTATATACGAAAATCTGCTAATTTTGTCTCACACACTGAGAAGTCCTCAGAGGTGAAGCTTTCACTATAGCACTCAATGCTGTTTCAACTAAATGAACTTAGGATAGAATGGATTGAATCGTTTTATAAACCAATTGAAATCTCGCACTTACCATTTTTGTCGCCAGGACACGTTTTACAGCATTTGCCAGGCAATTGTACTGGGTCACTGCACAATGTTGGTGGACATTCGTGTTTAATGTTCTTGCATTGCACGCGCACAACAATGCGACGCTTCTTCGGCACCTGRAAGAGAGTAAAATCAAATAAATGAAAAGTTCTTCTTGAAAATTAAATGAGTAACAAAAATTATGTAAAAATACGGCATTTGCAAAAACAGGCTTTGCTACCGGATTTCAACTAACTATTCGACAAATATACAGACATTGGTATGTAAATGTGAGTGTGTATGAAAAGCAGCTSTGGCCAGTAGACTTCTCCCAGCCAATTATTGTAGTTGTGTATTGATGATGCATAATTAAATTGCGAAATTAAAATGCGATAGTCGTAGACAGAACAACTTGTTGCAGAGCACTTCTTTATTGGTGGCGCCAACAAGCGCCAGGCGGTATTTGGCAATGTAACCTTTTTGATGTAAGCATAATTTAATTCGCAGGCTTTTTGTAAACTTGAATTTTAAATGCCCCGCTGCGCTGAAAAACCTTATGAATGAAGGCGCGCTGGTAATAAGGCGCTCTTGCCCCCTGCGCCGCTGTCGCCCTGAGTTGCTTTGTGGAAATATACATCGTATATGTGAACCATGTGTGTTTGTATGGTTGTTGCTTACAATTAGCGCCACTCATCGCCAGCCATTTCAGTCTATCAGCAGGCACTGATCGCTTCTTGTAAAGTACATACTATGTATGTTGTTGCTATTTATGCTATTTAAATTGTATTCCTTTGGTTTTTAATTCATATTACATTTTTTTCATTTAAATTKTTCTTTATATGTCTTCTTTCCTCGCCAGTCGCGCTCATCGGAAGTCTTGTTTAATTAGTTGTAAGATAGCTTTGCTGTTTTAATGGAAGTTTTATCGCCCGAAGCGGTGAGCATCAGTAGCATGAAATTAAGTTCACTTTCGAGTTTATACATACATATATTATAAATATTAGACATAAATATTCGTTTGTATTTTGCTTTCATAATTCTTTAGTTTGCTTTTCTTTTCGTAACTCATTTTGCGCTTTTCTCTTTTGGCTTTAATTTTCTGCTCTTGGTTGATACAAAAAGTGTGCCTATTCATAAATACAGGGTGCCCAAATTTAACTGAAGATTCAATTTTGCCGCCATTTCTATATTTATTAATCTCTTCACAGTTGACGAAGTTAAAACATTATTGCGAATATTTTGTACGCATTTTTGGCGGCCCCAAAGCCTTCATTATTTTGGAAATATTGTTCAATCGTGAAGACACCTTGTTTTATAACGTAAAGCTCCAATTTTACTAATCTGAAACTTTTTAGTGTTTACAACACTTTGCTATGCACATAAATATAAAATAATTAAAATCTGGCGTTGATTTTGGGACACCCTTTACAGGCACGTGTATGTTGCTTTCGAACAAATTTTGTTAAATTAGTGTTAACGCTTATTTAAATGCTTTTATGTTTAAATTTAGCGAGACAATAAGACATATAATATGTGTGCTTCACGAATATATATATATCTATATATGGGAATTGTGGTTGGCGCCGCTGTTACCAAAATTAATTTACAACTAAAAATAGAGATTTAAATATTCCAATTTCTTTTACATAAATAATTTGTATTTATATATGCGCTGCGATATGTACGCATATCAAACAGCCATTTACACWCTGCTGTAGGCAAGTTTGTGTTAATACATGCATATTTATTCTGAATTTCGTTTCACACAACTCTTAATATCGTGGCTAATTAACTTTTAAACATTTTTTGCTACCAATTTGTGGTTGACAAATTCCCCACCTCGAATTCGTTGCGCTTTAATTTTATAATTTGTTCACAATTCACMGCTTTTTGCTSGGTTGTCTTTGCAATCTGTTGCTGTTGTTGCCTTCTTAGTAAGTTGTCAGGTCAGTTTAGGCGTGTGCACATGCGCATGCGCACGCGTTTCGGCGCGCCGCTGTGCCAACTAGATCGACAGTGCTCACTTAAGCACAATCGAAGGGAGGCAAAAACAGAAATAGCAGCGGTGGCAACTGGCGCCTAACAGCAGCTCCAATATACCCTGACTACAACCCGGCTGTTGGCGCATGCACGCTTTTGCTGTTTTCTTATGTCGTTGTTGTTGAGTATTTTACAAATACTATTGTTGCATTTGTCCTAGGCGTAAAAATGTTGGTGGTGTGACTGCAGCAAATTACAAAGAAAACAATTGTTTAGTTCACGCATTGGCGATTACTTTTTTATCTCCACATCCAAGAGCTAAGTACAGTTGAGTACATGTTCGGTTTGAAAGTGGGGCGTGGATATRCTGTTGTCGCGGCGTTTACTTGCTTTAAATGTCAAGCGGCAACGTGTTGCTCATGCAGATATGTAGACTTTTCCTTTTTTGTTTTATTAAAATATTGCACTCAAGCGTGGCACACGCCGTTGTTTCATTGCATACCGCGATCGCAGTGACTAAAACWGTTTATAATTGTATAAACATATGTAGGTCCGATGGTGGAGACTTCATGTCATAAATACGAATGCAAAATCAAGGCGCTATTATAAACGAGCAAACAGAACAGCTCAGAATTAAAGTCAAATATTATATTAAAGTAACGRCAGATAAATGTCATTTCTATAAGGAGTAGATATCTTATGGGTATGTAGTGTACAAAGAGAAAGCTGCGGCTGCGAAGTTTGTGCTAAACTAGAACAACCACATGCTTTTATGGTGACAATTTATTTATGTTATTTCTTCACAACTTGTGCGAGGTCAATAACAAAAAGTTAGCTGCCAAGCTAGAGGCACCAACCGCCAGCCGACAACCACAAGCCGCAAGTAAATTTTTTTTGTGTGGACTTTATTCATATCAAATTAGCTGCCATTACGATGTCAGTGAGCTTATATAAGCGTGTATGTGCGCTCTGCCACATAGTCATGATATTTCGAAATACCAGATCTCAAACAATAAAAATTATTGAATTTTTGAACTACTAAGACTTAAGTAAGCTTTTTAAAAACAACAATGAATCACTTAATCTGTAAGCAACAGGGCACTTGCGAATTGTCAAAACAGTTTTAGAACAAAGTATGTTTGGAAGTAAATCATTAAATTATACATGAGGCCTGATATACATATGTAGGTATGTATGTGCGTATGTATGGATAAACATATTTGAAAATTCGCAGAGAGAAGAAACTCAACGCCGAATTCCACAAGTCAAAAGTGTTGAGCCAATACCATAGGCCATGGTAAGGCAAAAGGCATATGGTGTTTACATTCCTATCTACGTACAACACATACATGCTTTCAATATCTGTTTATGTGTGTGTGATTGTGTTATATTTGGCATGCGATTTTTCTTCGCTGTTTAACAATCTCTGGCTGTCGTCTGCTGTTTGTTGCTGTCTCAACTGCAAACTTTTCGGTGTGTGAATTTCTATAAATGTTAGATGTGTGTCTATTGTTGTTATTGCTATAGCGGTTGGTCATTTACTACAGACTGTGTCATAGTTTGTCGTCGCTATTTGCAAACATTTTTCATCGTGAAAGGACCTTTAAAATGCGTATCAATCATGTCAACATTGGTCATAAATTTAACAGAAATAAAAAGCAATAAATACACTTAATATTAGACAAAGTCAAGACGTGAGGAAAATGTTACTCATACGCCATGGTGTTGCGGCATCTACTCACTCATGCAAAAGCCGATCGTAGAGGCTTCGGAAAAATTAACGAACCGAAAAACTATTTAAGTATTTTTATAAATTTTAAATGAAATTAAAGTACGAAAGTAATTGCAATTTCGGTGATTCCTAATAAAGCACGTGTCGAATTGTTGCGTAAAAATCAGCAGTTTCTTAATTGGATGCGAAAGCACTTGTTAATATTTGTTAAATCTTCACTTACCGCTACACATTCACATCTGATGCAGTACATGACACCGAATGGTGGACCAAGATCTGCGAACCAGGTGGAGCCGATCTCCCGCACTGTCTTGCCAAACTGACATTCCGAAACTGTAACGAAAGAAGTAAAAATATAACATTAAAGCAATGCCAATAATAAAAATTTAGTTTATTTTTTACAACATTTAAAGATATATATTGTTTTCTTAATAGCGCTTGGCAATAGAAATAAAAGTTAAAGCCGTAAAAACTATTTAAGCTTATATAAGCGAAGCAGCACGTTTATCAATGCGTACATCGCATTCGTTCTTTTGGTTCGTAAGTGATCAGCAAGCAATTTCAATTTAAGCCAATAAGCCGCAATTAACCCAAATCATAGCTCCGCCATACAAATTGCCTTACAAGGCTGAGTCAGCTTGTCGACTCGGCAATATATACAAAAATTGCTTTTGTTTTTACATGTTGTCTGTTTTTTTTGTTTAAATTTGTTTATGCTTTTTTGATTTGATTTCTGCCTCGCCATAGCTTTTTCCTGTAAATTTCAGAGCATATAAAATATTTGCTTGACGTTTTTACATAACTACATGTATTTTATAACAATATATGTATGTGGATAGTTTTGAATTTGTTGCTGCACTCGTGTACGAAAGTTGCTGAAAATTAATTGCTTCCTTTGCTTTGTTGCCAAAGTGGCGCTGGTCGCTTACGGACTATCGCTTGTTACACGGTTGTTAGTGCTTTTGTTGTCTATAGTTTTATTGGTTTCGGCTTTTGGCTTTTTGTCTGTGCGTTCTGCTTTTATTTCAGCTGATTACTGCGTTGTTGCGTTGCGTCGCTGCGCTCTAATCGCGCACTAGCCGAGCAAAATAAATTTCTCAAAATTGCTGGCGTCAGTCAATCAACGTAAACTTGCCACTATTGATATTCGTCGATGATGAGTTGACTGTGCTGCCTTTGTGGCCCTGCATATTTTGCCCCCTTCCTGCACACAACCCACAAACTCAAAATGTGGTCTAGCTTGTGTTGTTTATATTCTCATTTTATATCCCCCCGATTTGATTGATTTTTAGTAGTGCTTTTAATTTTCAATTGAAGTCTTAATTTCATTTCATTCCCAACAACATTCAATTCAGTTCAATTCAATTTGGCACAATTCACTTCGCAATGCTTATGCTATAGCCAGCTTATTACAGACCGGCGACCGAACATCTGACCAGTCGGCTCGTCGTCCGAACAATCAGCCAAGTGGCGATTCGTCATCAATAGCACTTTTCGCTTACAAGTCGGAGGCAGAGCCTCCATGCCATGCCGTCCCTTTTGCTGGTCTATTTTTCATTGTGTTGATTTTTATTTAATTTTTTTTTATGTACGCTTGCTTTTCACTCAGCTATAAACCTCATTTTGCTAACATAAATAAATGAAAAGCGATGCAGCAGACAACCACGCGTAACATATAGTAAATAAGAAAATCTTTTAAATTTAATTAAAGAAATTTACGTCCTCTGTATTTTTATACAATACTTTCTCGCGAAAATCAACCAAAAACTCGGAGAAAATAAGCAAACCGTCGCTCAGACGGTATCACATCAGACGATGAGAAATGCAAACGAAATGATTTTAAATTTAATTAACGATGTATATTTTTGAAAATGTTGAAAAAAAATCGTTGGAAAAATAAATAAAGCAGCGACACACAGACGCGGAAAATTAAAACCTTACACAAGAGCAGAAAAATAAAAAAAGGGTGGAAACAGCAACTAAAAGCAGCACAAATGAAACAGAAATTAATTAAAAATTTCAGGGACACTAGTCGATGATTCGCCTGTTCGAGGAAGAGAGGCGCAGAATGGGTGTCGTCAGCTATGGATAGAGACAGAAATTGATAATGCAAAAGTGAAATCATTCGGAAAGATAAGTGCCTATGAAATATAGCATACTGGTAAGAAATTTTCTATTATAAATTTTAATCGAAGTGCCGACTACCAAATTTAATAGCATTTACCTTAGAGCATGCTTTTAATAACGTGTGCAATTACCTAACGAATAAAATATTAGGACTAATATTAATGAGCAAAATAAAAGTGATTTTAGTAATTCGATTTTACTTTTATTCAGAAAATCATTTCCAATGACTGAAAACTAAAACTAGAAACTAAAATGCCTATGTATATATGTATATGTATATAATAATTCCATTCAACACATTTAAAATCAGTAAATAGTTCAGTGTAATTTTTTTCACAGCCTGAGAAGACCCCTGTTAATTTCCACCGTGGTTTCATGATTGCAGTKCAATCAATCACACGCCGGCGTTGCGCTGTTGCTGTCAACAATCACAACAAACCCGCACGAGCAATCAGACCATTGATTTACACTAAATGACTGGCAATAAAATCCAAATGAGCTGTAAAAATTATCCAAATAATTGTTGGACTGGATGTAAACGAACGTGAGGTGTGGGGTTATAAAAATTCCAGAAATAAGCTGCATGTGCCACACACGAAAAAGGCCAGGCCGAGCCGAAAACAACAACAAAGGCAGAATATAAGAAATAAAATAAAGTCAAATTAATAATAAGAATGAAGCTAGTCGAAATCGGACATTTCAATGGAAAATGAGATGACTTCAAAGAGGACAGCGGGGTGTTGAAGAAACGAAATCGAACAAATGGAAAGCAATCTGTGCTCACACTCCTAAACGAAGGATCGCACACGCCACACTCGTGCATAACAGCAAGAAATATGTATATACATATGTAAATAAAAGAGGAGAGGAGAAGATAGGCTTGTTGGGAAAGTGACGCAGAGCACAGAGCGGCATACGAAGGTGTCAAGGCAACAGCGGAATGCTTGAAATTAAATCATTTGTCTTCTTATTCATACACATTTTTCACAATAAGTATACTTTCATCTTTGGCTGTTTGTTGTTGGCTGACTGGCAGGGTCCCTGAGGTTAAATTTCAACAGCTAATCTTAAAATGGTGTGAAAATCATTTAAGATTACGCCTGGTCCGTCGGTGGTTGGCGCGCATTGTGGTTGTGGCCGAAGTGGATTTGTGTTAAAAAATTTTCGTTTCTTTTATTGTTTTTGTTGTTATCACAATGAATGAAAGAATGTGAGGTGAGAAATCTGTGATGATTAATTGTGGCGAAAAGTGAAAAGGGTGTTGGAATGCTGTGTTGGAAGCGAAACAATACAAGTCTATACAAAGCGGTGAGGCCAAGATAGAAAGAGGGAAATAAATATCACGCGTGGTGCGAGAACAAATCGAAAACTATTTCGCTATTATTTACATTACTTTCCTGTACGTTGCATGATGTCACATTTGAAGCGAAGCAACAATCTTTTACATACATACATACATATGTATCGACAATCTCGAATGGCGCCAAACCGAACCGCTCTAGATCCGCTCAATCGACCGCGCCAAAAAAGATGCAGATGAAACAGCGAAATAAGCACAAAAGTTGGGAGGAAACAGTCATTGGCGGCATTGCGAAACATTTACGTGCAACTTCAATTACCACGCAAGAGCAATAAATCAAAAGAGTGCGCGACGTACCGACTAAATCGGCTGTCGACTCTGGGTTCTCGACTGTCGACTGTCGACTCTTGGACGTCAGAGCTGTTGGCCAGCGGCGCTGCAGCGGCCACACGCCATTACAAATGACAAGCAGGCAAAGTGGGCAAATGTCGATTGAATTGAATTAGAGAATGTAGGAAGTTGTCTGATGGGGCAGCATCAACAACAACAAAATTCAAAACGTGTAAAAAGTAAGAACTGAGAGGCAAAGACCAAAATAGTAAGAGCAAAAGCAACAGCAACGACAACCAAATTGGCAGACAGATAAGTTGCCGGCCCAAAGTGGCAAAAAGTGGGCGCAATTGTTGCTGGCGCATCGCCGCATCGCTAATGTATGTTCAAACGTGTATGCAACTGTGGTTTTGTGCACATAAAACGGCAATAAGCGCTACACTATTTAGGTAGGCTGAATGTGTGTAACAACAACAAAATTACCAAAGTGGCGTCTAGCAGCCGCCAGGCGCACTATGTACACACTGACGCACACGCAATAGCGCGCAAGTCAAATGCAGGCCTTTCTGTTCTAGCCATATTTTGTTTGGCGTTTTTGCGCCTATTTTCCGTTTGCGGCTTTTTCCATTTTTTCGATTCGTTTACTTGACAAGTTTTTTTTTTATTGCCACAACCGTTTGTGGATGCTTGTCGTTTTTATTGTGTGAGCGAGCGTAGGATTTTGTAATTTTCAGAAATAAATTGACAGTTGCCATGGGTGAATTTGGCCTGCGCTCCGCTATTGGCTCATACATTTTATTTATAATCTGTGTCAATACATAAACAATATTTGTAGTGTGGCAGATTGCATCCAACTGGTTGCATAATTATTTATAATTTCCTTTCCTGCCGTCGTATGAAAATATTTTTCTAAACAAATATCTACTTCAAGCGAAAGTCTTTATTCTGTGTTGTATCAAACAAAAATTAATTAAAAAACAACAAACACAATACTTTCTTAACTTTCTTACGCAAGAGCAAGAACATTTTCAGCAATAAGTTTATTAAATTCTGAAGCTCTTAAGAGCCGTAACACTTCATGCCTACTTAGGCTTTCTTCTCAACTTTGTGATGCAGGTAATATATGTATGTATGTAAGTATGTATTTATAATAATTGGCGTAGACGTATGTTAAAATCGCTGTGAGACTGCATATCGTGCTGGAGCGAGCGTAGGAAGTGCTTGATTTTACAAATTACTACCAATGGTGAATGYAAATCTCAATTTGAGCGTGGCGATTAGCCGTAGTCGGCAACACTTCCGGCACGCAAAGACGGAAACTCATTTATTGTGACTGCTTTTTTGATAGTTACTAAATACATACATATGAACATACAATCTAGATTATTATTATATACATATCTGTCTTTACAAAATCCTTTAATACAATGCACAACTTGACACTGACAAATTTCCAAAATTTCCACACGCCAGGCTCATCCATCGGCAACGCAGTCGCTTCATTTCACGGCGCACACTCTGCTTGGGAACACAACCCACCGCACATTCGTTAACGAATAACACAACTTGCCCCGCG